TGACTATATCTCACAATTCTGACTATATCTCGCAATTCTGACTATATCTCGCAATTCTGAATTCATATCTCGCAATTCTGACTATATCTCGCAATTCTGAATTCATATCTCACAATTCTGACTATATCTCGCAATTCTGAATTCATATCTCGCAATTCTGACTATATCTCGCAATTCTGACTATATCTCGCAATTCTGAAGTCATATATCACAATTCTGACTATATCTCGCAATTCTGAATTCATATATCACAATTCTGACTATATCTCACAATTCTGACTATATCTCGCAATTCTGACTATATCTCGCAATTCTGAATTCATATCTCGCAATTCTGACTATATCTCGCAATTCTGAATTCATATCTCGCAATTCTGACTATATTTTGCAATTCTGACTATATCTCGCAATTCCGACTATATCTCGCAGTTCTGAATTCATATCTTGCAATTCTGACTATATCTCGCAATTCTGAAGTCATATCTCACAATTCTGACTATATCTCGCAATTCTGAATTCATATATCACAATTCTGACTATATCTCACAATTCTGACTATATCTCGCAATTCTGACTATATCTCGCAATTCTGAATTCATATCTCGCAATTCTGACTATATCTCGCAATTCTGAATTCATATCTCTCAATTCTGACTATATCTCGCAGTTCTGAATTCATATCTTGCAATTCTGACTATATCTCGCAATTCCGACTATATCTCGCAATTCTGAATCCATATCTCACAATTCTGACTATATCTCGCAATTCTGAGTATATCTTGCAATTCTGAATTTATATCTCGCAATTCTGAATTCATATCTTGCAATTCTGACTATATCTCGGAATTCTGACTATATCTCGTATATCTCGCAATTCTGACTATATCTCGCAATTCCGACTATATCTCGCAATTCTGAATTCATATCTTGCAATTCTGACTATATCTCGCAATTCTGACCAAATCTCTCAATTCTGAATTCATATCTCACAATTCTGACTATATCTCGCAATTCTGAATTTATATCTCGCAATTCTGACTATATCTCGCAATTCTGAATTCATATCTTGCAATTCTGACTATATCTCGCAATTCTGACCAAATCTCTCAATTCTGAATTCATATCTCACAATTCTGACTATATCTCGCAATTCTGAATTTATATCTCGCAATTCTGACTATATCTCGCAATTCTGAATTCATATCTCGCAATTCTGAATTCATATCTCACAATTCTGACTATATCTCGCAATTCTGACTATATCTCGCAATTCTGAATTCATATCTCGCAATTCTGACTATATCTCCCAATTCTGACTATATCTCGCAATCTCGCAATTCTGACTATATCTCGCAATTCCGACTATATCTCGCAATTCCGACTATATCTCGCAATTCTGAATTCATATCTTGCAATTCTGACTATATCTCGCAATTCTGACCATATCTCGCAATTCTGAATTCATATCTCACAATTCTGACTATATCTCTCGCAATTCTGACTATATCTTGTATATCTCTTAATTCTGACTATATCTCACAATTCCGAATTTATATCTCGCAATTCTGAATTCATATCTCGCAATTCTGACTATATCTCGCAATTCTGAATTCACATCTCGCAATTCTGACTATATCTCGCAATTCTGAATTCATATCTCGCAATTCTGACTATATCTCGCAATTCTGAATTCATATCTCGCAATTCTGAATTCATATCTCGCAATTCTGACTATATCTCGCAATTCTGAATTCACATCTCGCAATTCTGACTATATCTCGCAATTCTGACTATATCTTGCAATTCTGACTATATCTCGCAATTCTGACTTCATATCTTGCAATTCTGACTATATCTCGCAATTCTGACTATATCTTGCAATTCTGACTATATCTCGCAATTCTGACTATATCTCGCAATTCTGAATTCATATCTCGCAATTCTGACTATATCTCGCAATTCTGAATTCACATCTCGCAATTCTGACTATATCTCGCAATTCTGACTATATCTCGCAATTCTGACTATATCTCGCAATTCTGACTATATCTCGCAATTCTGAATTCACATCTCGCAATTCTGACCATATCTCGCAATTCTGACTATATCTCGCAATTCTGACTATATCTCGCAGTTCTGAATTTATATCTCGCAATTCTGAATTCATATCTCGCAATTCTGAATTTATATCTCGCAATTCTGAATTCATATCTTGCAATTCTGACTATATCTCGCAATTCTGACTATATCTCGTATATCTCGCAATTCTGACTATATCTCGCAATTCCGACTATATCTCGCAATTCTGAATTCATATCTTGCAATTCTGACTATATCTCGCAATTCTGACCATATCTCTCAATTCTGAATTCATATCTCACAATTCTGACTATATCTCGCAATTCTGAATTTATATCTCGCAATTCTGACTATATCTCGTAATTCTGAATTCATATCTCGCAATTCTGACTATATCTTGTAATTCTGAATTCATATCTTGCAATTCTGACTATATCTCGCAATTCTGAATTCATATCTCGCAATTCTGACTATATCTCGCAATTCCAACTATATCTCGCAATTCCGACTATATCTCGCAGTTCTGAATTCATATCTTGCAATTCTGACTATATCTCGCAATTCTGACTATATCTCGCAATTCTGACTATATCTCGCAATTCTGAATTCATATCTCACAATTCTGACTATATCTCTCGCAATTCTGACTATATCTCGTATATCTCGCAATTCTGACTATATCTCACAATTCTGAATTTATATCTCGCAATTCTGAATTCATATCTCGCAATTCTGACTATATCTCGCAATTCTGAATTCACATCTCGCAATTCTGACTATATCTCGCAATTCTGAATTCATATCTCGCAATTCTGACTATATCTCGCAATTCTGAATTCATATCTCGCAATTCTGAATTCACATCTCGCAATTCTGACTATATCTCGCAATTCTGACTATATCTCGCAATTCTGAATTCATATCTCGCAATTCTGACTATATCTCGCAATTCTGAATTCATATCTTGCAATTCTGACTACATCTCGCAATTCTGACTTCATATCTTGCAATTCTGACTATATCTCGCAATTCTGACTATATCTCGCAATTCTGACTATATCTCGCAATTCTGAATTCATATATCACAATTCTGACTATATCTCGCAAATTCTGACTATATCTCGCAATTCTGAATTCACATCTCGCAATTCTGACCATATCTCGCAATTCTGACTATATCTCGCAATTCTGAATTCACATCTCGCAATTCTGACCATATCTCGCAATTCTGACTATATCTCGCAATTCTGACTATATCTCGCAGTTCTGAATTTATATCTCGCAATTCTGAATTCATATCTCGCAATTGTGAGAAATAAAGTCAGAATTGCGAGATGTAAACTTGCAATTATCTTTTCTGTGGCAGAAACAAGCTTCTATAGTGCCAGTCAAATGCACTGAACAAACATATTATCCTCTGACACGATATAAATACAGTATATATATATGAATAACAGTAGCTCATCAGAAGTGAATAACAGACTGTATGATGCAGACTCACAGAGGTGATGAGCGCAGCGCAGGTGAAAACTGTCACAGCTGTGCACGTGATGATACAGGGTCTTCTCAATCAGGTCCTGTGGCTCATATCCTGTCAGCTCTGAAACCCTTATAGACACAGAACACACTAGAGTCAGCACTGACCCTGAAACACATCAAGCTCTTCCTCACAGCGCTCATATCTCCACATTCTCAAATCAAGATGCACTACTGGAGGAGAACATGACTGGAGATATCAAGATGTGAAAATGCATCAGTTTGTGTTTAAAACAAGAACAACTATCTGAAAATGGAGTCAGAAAAATAATCTTAATTCAAAGAGAAAACGGGATTAATTTCCTGACTCTATTGGCAGATATTTGTTCTTGTTTTAATCTCAAACTCACTTCATTTTGATGCATTTTTCAGAAAAGAAAACTTTACAAGCTAACATAAATATATCCCAAGAATGTGTTTTCTTGAGCGTTACGGGAACAGTGACACTGTATCATTCTCACACATTATGGAACGTTACTTTTGAATCTGAACGTTCTGAAACAAGAAACATTTAAAAACCGTTACATTTAAAAACAAACATCAACTGAAACATTCCAGAAAAAGTACATTTATTTTGATTTAAGAATGTTGCTATATTTGCACTGGAAAGCGAGACAGAAACCCTGATGTGTGTGTGTGTGACGTGTGTGTGGTGTGTATTACAGCGCACGCTCCACCTTGAGTCCAGGAATATGAGCTTCATGTCCAGACTGGCCCGAAACATGAACATGTTGCTGTGGAGTTTGATCTCGGTGACGGCGCTGGGCGGGAGAGTGTGTCCCACCGCCACCAGACCCACGTTCTGATAGCAGCCGTCGAACAGAGACGAGTCCAGCCCGAACGGCCGGATCTTCAGGTACCCACTGCAGTGGATCACCTGGGGTCAAAGGTCAGCTCTTACTGTCTGCGGCACGTTACTAAAACCTAACTCAAAATATTAGTAAAGTCGTACCTTATATCCTCCACTCGTGAGCCCAGCGTTACGTTTGGCCAAAACACATTTCATTCTCAAGAAGAACGATCGCTCAACTTCGTACTCTAAAATGAGAATAATTCACATTCATCGACTGGGTTTTGGTTTTCTGGGTAATCAGGAAACACTCACTAAATGTTAAAGTCCCCCTGTGGTGAAAATCAAGCTTTTCATGTTGTTTATGATTATACTCAAACCATGTGTAAGTTCATAAGTCGACAGCATTGCTGAGTATTTCCTCCTTTAAACTGCAGTGAACCAAAGACAGTCTCAAAAACACGGTTTGAAATCGCTGGTGTTTCTGACGTCACAAACGAGCTTGTAACCAATCAGATCAACGTGTGATCGTCAACCAGTGGATCTCTGAGCTGAGTGAGTGAGTGGAGGCGGGGCTCATTTGCATATTCATAGAACCGCGCATACTAAATGAGGCACGAGTTACATTCAAGATATTTAAAGGCATGAAGAATTAATGATGCTTAAATATGTCATTTTGTTGATCAAAGATGAGTTTTAACCCTCTGGGGGCCTTCGGCCCAAATGGACCCGAAGCATTTAAATAAAAAATTTTTTTTTAAATCATAGCTTTATCGGAATGGTCCGAAATTTGGTGACTTTGTTGGTACTTGGTATATGAACACCCAAAAAAATTGGGGACAGGATTTGAATAGTCTAAGTGGTTGTAAAAAAAATAGTCACACTCAGGACCTTCGGGTCCAAATGGACCCGCATAGGAAATGAATGGGAAATTGGCAAAAATGTGAAAATACAGAGTTATTTTGTGCGTACAATCTACAAATCAGCCACGATCCAGAAAAAAAGCACACAACAGTGAAGGGGTGAATCTATAAAACATCAAGAGTGCAAAACAGACACATCCACACACACACTTTTATACACATACACACTAATAAATTCAGATTACATATGGGTTTTGAATTTTTAAAATGCTCAGTTTGTCCACCAGATGGCATCCATCTCATTTCAAAAATTGCTTTCATGAGGCCTAGGCTTGAGTCTAAAATGAAATACAGCTTTAAAAAAAAAAAAAAAAAAAAATCTATTATATTCAATGGGGAAAAAATTGGTCATAATTATTGCAATAATAATATTTATTATAAATCATTTTTATTTTTGAAATTATCTCAAAACACCAAAAAAGAAAAGAAAAAATATTATAAAAAACAAGTAAAAAAAAAAAATTATGATTTTTTTAAAATAAATATTAATCCCACCCTTCCGGCCCATTTGGACCCGAAGGTCCTATAAAATGTTTGACTACGAGGGGACTTTAAGATAAAACAATTATTGAACGGTCTTATTACATTATTAAAGGAGTCATGAAATTTGCCGTGATCTTTTGACATACAAGAAGTGTTGTACATTCTGCAAATTTCAGAGTTTAAAACATCCTCTTCATTATAAACAAAGCAGATTTAATCAAACTCAAAAACACTGAGTGATGTCACATGGGCTTATTCATTTGCATATGCCCGCCTCCATAACAAGACATCGACCAATTAGAAATGTGTTGTTCTAGATAAAGTGAGTTTGCAAACCGTGTGTGTATTGTCTTACCTTGGACGAAGTGTGTGTGATACGCCGCTTGTGGCGTCAGAACCGCCGCCATCTCGTCATGATCGGCCGGATGAACATATTCATAAATACTGTTTCCCGTCAGCTCTACCTGTGTGGAAGGACTTCTGTCATTCTACTGGAGCAATTGTGAGATCAAAGTTCACAATTATCTTTTAAAATATTTGATAGTAGCGGAAACAAGCTTCCATCGAGCCTCAGTCAAACGCTCCGAACAAACATACAGTCGTCCGACACGATATAAATGTGTGTGTGACCCTGGGCCACAAAACCAGTCACTAGGGCTGAGATCTATACATCAAGCTGAATAAATAAGCTTTCCATTGATGTGTGGTGTGTTAGGATATGATCATATTTGGCTGAGATATGACTATTGAACATCTGGAATCTGAGGGTGCAAAAAAATCAAAACTTTGAGAAAATCGCCTTTAAAGTTGTGCATTTATGTTCGCGATATTACTCATCAAAATATTTTTATATATATTTACGGTAGCAAATTTACAAAATATCTTCATGGAACATAATCTTTATTTAATATCCTAATGATTTTTGGCATAAAAGAAAAATCGATAATTTTGACCCATATAATGTATTGCCACAAATACACTCGTGCGACATGTGACTGGTTTTGTGGTCCAGGGTCACACACACACACACACACACACATATGAACATGGCATCCGTCAGATGTTAGTGTGTTCTTCACCTGTGAGAGTCCCAGATGAACACACACACACACACACATATGAACATGGCATCCGTCAGATGTTAGTGTGTTCTTCACCTGTGAGAGTCCCAGATGAACACACACACACACACACATATGAACATGGCATCCGTCAGATGTTAGTGTGTTCTTCACCTGTGAGAGTCCCAGATGAACCGACGCCGTCTCAGAAATATACATGATCTTTCCATCTGCAGCAACTACAAATATAAACCCGTCTAACGTCTGCAGATCAAGAATATCAGACGGGTCATGACAGAAACACACACACACACACACACACACACACACACACTCACAGAGCGATCTGCAAACAAGCTTCGTTAGACACTGACAACCAGGCATGCGTGTTTCAGGGTTCCTCAGTAACACTTTATTTTACAGTGTCCTTGTTACATGTACTTACTATAGTAATAACAGTAAATTATGCATAATCACATGCAAATAACTCTCAATCATTATCCTAACCCTATAGTAAGCACATGTAGTTGCTTAATATTACTCAGAACTTAAATATATAATTACACTGTAACAATGACACCTTAAAATAAAGTGTAACCGTTGTTATTATTTACATGTAAAACATTTCCTGCAATATTTCTAAATTATTAAATGATAATAATAAAAAAGTCTTCATATTACCTGGAGCATCTTGCTGATTATTACCTGGAGTAAATGCGATCCGAGCTCTTGTGCAGTGTTCTCTCTAGATCGGGCTCGACCCCACACCTCCCCCAAACCTGCACACACACACACACACACACACACACACACGTCTTTATCAATAACTCATAATCACACGTCTTTATCATAACTCATAATCACACGTCTTTATTAATAACTCATAATCACACGTCTTTATCAATAACTCATAATCACACGTCTTTATCATAACTCATAATCACACGTCTTTATCAATAACTCATAATCACACGTCTTTATCAATAACTCATAATCACACGTCTTTATCATAACTCATAATCACACGTCTTTATCAATAACTCATAATCACACGTCTTTATCAATAACTCATAATCACACGTCTTTATCAATAACTCATAATCACACGTCTTTATCAGTAACTCATAATCACACGTCTTTATCAGTAACTCATAATCACACGTCTTTATCATAACTCATAATCACACGTCTTTATCAGTAACTCATAATCACATGTCTTTATCATAACTCATAATCACACGTCTTTATCAGTAACTCATAATCACACGTCTTTATCATAACTCATAATCACTTTATCATAACTCATAACCACACGTCTTTATCAATAACTCATAATCACACGTCTTTATCAGTAACTCATAGTCACACGTTTTTATCATAACTCATAATCACTTTATCATAACTCATAACCACACGTCTTTATCAATAACTCACAATCACACGTCTTTATCAATAACTCATAATCACACGTCTTTATCAATAACTCATAATCACACGTCTTTATCAATAACTCATAATCACACGTCTTTATCATAACTCATAATCACACGTCTTTATCAATAACTCATAATCACACGTCTTTATCAATAACTCATAATCACTTTATCATAACTCATAACCACACGTCTTTATCAATAACTCATAATCACAACACGGATTCAGCAGGTTTTGTGCACTTGGGTATATATCATAGTGCTACAACTTACATGTTTACATTCAGCTATAATTAAATCTGTTTTTAATTCAAGCCTTTTATAATATTTTATAAAATATCATAATAATAATTGTATTGTTATTATCTGTAATTGTATAACGTATATACTCATAATCCTTATTATAACATTCACTTAGCCTATGATAAATGGTGTGTGTGTGTGAGAGAGAGAGAGAGAGAGAGAGAGAGAGAGAGAGAGAGAGAGAGAGAGAGAGAGAGAGAGAGAGAGAGAGAGAGAGAGAGAGAGAGAGAGACTATCGATAGTGTGAGTGAATCTAAGCTCGTGAACAAACACTGCCGTCGGGAAAGCAAATCACGGACATCAGCCGCAAACACGCGCAAATCACGTGACTGACATGTTAATACACACTTGCTCACAAGCCTGTATATGCCACATGTAGGCCTACACACACACACCTCCTGACAAACACACACACACTCACCCACTCACTTACTCTCACTCTCTCTCTCTCTCTCTCTCTCTCTCTCTCTCTCTCTCTCACACACACACACACACACACACTGCTGGACTCTTGCCCGGTTTCTGAATTGATCCATCAGTGTAATTATTCGCACATTGCGGTGAGTTATATGGGGACTATTCCGACCAAATGTAAAAAAAATATATTTTTTTTTTGTCTATTGTAATTATAATACATTATTATTGTATATTATTTTACTACTATTAATGATAACTATTATTAGGCTATTATTATTATTATTATTATTGGCCAACGTTATGGCCTTTTCCTCAGTTTGCGTTTCCTCCACGTGTGTGTGTGTGTGTGTGTGTGTGTGTGTGTGTGTGTGTGTGTGTGTGTGTGTGTGTGTGTGTGTGTGTGTGTGTGTGTGTGTGTGTGTGTGTGTGTGTGTGTGTGTGTGTGTGTTTCCAGTGCTGATGAATATGAGGAAAAGCCCGCGTGAAGATATTGTGTTTATTAGATTGCAGGCACAGAAATGAACTAAATTAACACATGACACAAAATTAAGTGTGTTTTTCGACTAAGTGTTTTTATTTATATGACTTATTAAAGTTTGTTCTCATTTAATTTTAATATTCTTATGTCTCTGGTCAAACATTTATTCTCCACAGATTTGGGTAAATGTAAACAACAATATGGTGTGACGAAAACTTCGAACATTTACACCCCCCAAAAAACCCGCTTTAATTATTTCACGTTGATAATTGTCTTGGCATCGCTGAAACTAAAGCTGCTTAATTCATGAAAATGATGTTTCTCACAGATGTGGCTTCAAAGAAAGAAGAAAATCATCCGCTCGAGCATCAATTATAATTTCATCTGTTTCTTAAGTGACTCGTGCTCGCGGAGTCCAGACAGCCTCACGCGCGCCCGGTGTAATGAGCGCGCAGGGTGCGCAGGCACGCTCGTGACCGCGAGAGATCAGGGCGACTCATCCTCTCACAAACACCACCTCTCTCTCTCTCTCTCTCTCTCTCTCTCTCTCTCTCTCTCTCTCTCTCTCTCTCTCTCTCTCTCTCTCTCTCTCTCTCTCTCTCTCTCTCTCTCTGTCTATCTATCTATCTATCTATCTATCTATCTATCTATCTATCTATCTATCAAAAAAACTGGTTCAAAATGTTTATTTCCAAGCATTTCAGACACACTGGAATACATTTAGAATCTGAACAATTATTTAATGTATTTCCTTTAAAGTAAAATCGATTTGAAAAGTGGAGGAAGCTGATCAGCTTATTGAGCGCATTTATATATTGAATGTTCAGTTATTATAGCTGTAAAAAAAACAGCCCGTTATGCTGCATATGATATTGCAAATCTTACCATATTATTGTAATATATTGCCGTAATTATTGTCGGTTTGGTTTGGGGTTATTGCGTGTAATTATGCATAATTTACAGTTATAGTAACATGTGTAATAACACTGTATACCGTGTAAATGTATCTCGATGTATAAGAATGTTTAAATATTTGCACTGGAAAACAAGACAATATATACAAATAAAGTGTAACCTAATCAAGCTATAATGAAGCACGCGCTTTATTTGCATAACGCTTTTAAAAATACACGTCGTTTGCAGCTTTACTGTTACTATGACAGAATATTTATAATTTCGTGCTAGTCTATATTTTTAGAGCGCGTTGAATGCAGATCTGACACTTCAGACCCACAAATAGACATACTTTAGGCCTAATGAAAAATAGAATATGATAGAGAACGGAAGAATTTATGTGGCATTTCAACGCATTTTCCTCTCTGACTCTGATATGTTGAACATATCGAAACATCATGAAGAACTTAAGGAAATATAGCTCGAGCACCGGCCTAAAATGGTTCCTTATTATTTTTATTATTATTATTATTAAAAATAAAGTTTCCAAAGGGGTGTTTTCCCACACATGGGAACACTTTTTGGCTCAACAAAGAGGATTTTTTTTTCTTAGTGAATAATAATAATTTCGCAGCGCCGTTAATGTTTCGCGGAACGGACTGTTATGGAACTATAACGCGTTATGTTTGGCGCGCTGACTGAAAGAGGACTGTGTGTGTGTGTGTGTGTGTGTTGAAGAGCTCTGACCTTGCGGGAACACCAGGCGCATCTTCAGGTAGCTGCTGGTCAGTCTGATGATGGACGCTTTGTCCAGCTGAGATGTGATCGCGGACGGTAACGGCAACATCTTGGCGAGCTCGTAAAACTCGCTGTTCTCTTTCTCCCGGCGCGTTCTCGCCGCGGTCTTTGACTTCTCCTTCATCTCAGCGCGAATAGAGTTCAAACCCCGTGAAAGTGTCAGTCCATCCAGCGACACGCGCAGAGCTCACCGGACAGGTGTGTGACACCGACGCGTGGACGCGCATCTGACCCGCGCAGGCCTCAGACGCACACACACACACACACAGCAGCGAAACTTTATCAATCTGCCGTTTCCCAGCTAATAAACAAAAGCAAAAGCAGATTAATCACGTGCATCATTTCTGAAATACATAACTCTAAATTGTAGAAGCATGCATTTTCTGTAAAGCTGCTTTGAAACGACATGTATTGTGGAAAGCGCTATACAAATGAATTGAATTGAATTGAATAATATTCCGCGTAATTCATAAGCCTGATTACAGACACGCGGTGCAGTTAATCAAGCATTTATATCTTCAAATTATGATCATTTAAAAAATGCTATAGTAGGCCTATTTAATTTTATTATCATTATTCCAGAGTAAAACTCACAAAAATATGTTAACATTAACGTATACTCACCACCTTTTGTTTGTGATCAATATTCCCACAACATTCGCAGACCGTTCATCTATTCTATTCTATTCTATTCTATTCTATTCTATTCTATTGTATTTCTATTTCTATTTATATTCGGCTTGGAATCTTCACTGCATGAGCTCATCCTCAGGTACCGTGTGTGTGTGTGTGTGTGTCTGAAGCGGGCTCGAGCTGTCCAGTCTTACCGTCACTCGCGCGCTCATTGGTCAGAGTTTCTGAAGGCGCGCGCGCGAGAGAAGACAAACTTACGAACTGTACAATAACAAGTTAACGTCATTTGCGACTAACAAGTTAAAGCCTTTAATACAAACCAAGTGTATAAAATGCAACAAAAAAAAAATAGCCTACATGATCATGACGAGTTTCGATTCTTATAATAGACCTTTAGATATTTCATAATTAATGTTTATGTTTAAATTATACGGTCAGTTCAGATTTAGATGCAATGTAATTTATCTAGATTAGAATAAGATCTCGATTATGCACGTGCAACATTTGGTTACACAGTTTTCAAGGTGTCAGTGTTACAGTGTAATTTTAATAAAGCACTTATGATAATAATTAACATGTAGGTGTTTGGTTCAGGGTTAATTGCATGTAATTGTGCATAATTTACAGCTATTGCTACAATAACTACATGTACCATTTGTAACAATGACGCTGTAAAATAAAGTATTACCGATATTTTGCCTCTGCAAAGCAATTCATTATTTTAAAAAATAAGGATAGAAGTTTTCCTTTTATTCCAGTGTCGTCTGAAAATCTTCTATATTCACTGAGCATATGAATTTTAACTCTATGCGTCTTCAGACCGAGTGCAGAACACACACTGAAATGAGAACAAAGGTCAGAATTCATAATAAATGGGGGAAATGGAGAAAACGAAGGAGAAGAAGACAGGCTTTCTTAAAATTAGGATTATATTGTGGACAGCACAGGCTGTTTTTAGTTTAGGCTGGCGAAGTGTGTGTGTGTGTGTGTGTGTGAGAGAGAGAAATCACGCGCTGCAGCTCCAGAGCACGCTCGCGCTGACACACACTTTAACCTCACAGGAACTATTTATCAATCACCGACAAAAGCCTTTCTCTCTCACAAGAAAACATCAGCTCTGCTTTTCCTTCTCCTGCTCGTGCTCGTGCTCGTGCATGACACACTCCACATGCAGGAAATGACGGATATCTGTGGAAATATCCTGACGTGCATACAAATGAATAAAAATGCGTTTTAAGAAATGTAATAACTACTACATAACACAAACTGTCTTTATTGTTATCGATAGAACTTGCTTGTGGGAAAAATAAAATATGTTTGCATAATTGTTATATAGACTAGCTATATTTAGCTACAATTATTTTATAATAGGCTCCTAATAATTCGCGGTAATTGTAAATATGTTTATTGTCGTTGGTTTGTTAGTGATGTTTTGCACACATTACAAAAGAGCGATTTTGAAGATGTGGAAACAGCTCATAATCTGTCGATCATATTAATCATCACATTAATCTGTGTGTGTTTGATGGGAGCGCGGTCGCGCATACGCTCGTGTCATTAGCAGGCCGCGTGCGCTGGGCGAGAGCGCGCACCCCCCAGAACGCGCAGCGGTTTATATGCGAGTCTTTTCATTTAAAGGAACATGTGATCCATTCATACACACACACACACACACACACACACACACATGATCCATTCCGGAACATTTCTGATGATTTCGGTCCAGACCAGTGTATACGAGTGAACTTCTGCATGCATATAAATAATAGCCTATATTTAATATATTCACACACACACACATCTAATATAAACAGACTTGTATGTTAGATGCGATTAATCGATTTGACAGCACTTTATAAGTTAAAATATTTTTCCATAATCAAAATGTCAGATGTGTGGTATGTTCTAATTTCATATCATTGATCAATGATCTGTAAGCTAAATATTAGTCAATGCAAAGTCATTAAATAGTCAATCTTAAACTCTGTAGACAGACTGTAATCGCAGTCTGACACTGGTGTGACAACATGCCCCGGTCTCCTGTCATTAACCCTTGCTGAGTCGCTCGAGCTGCAGATCTCACCGTTACCATGGTAATGCACACAGTGACCATTAATGTGTGTTCAGACCCTGAACCACAGAGCAGAGAGAGAGAGAGAGAGAGAGAGAGAGAGAGAGAGAGAGAGAGAGAGAGAGAGAGAGAGAGAGAGAGAGAGAGAGAGAGAGAGAGAGAGAGAGAGAGAGAGAGAGTCCTGTTTCTCTGAGCTTCATGTCAGAGGCTTTGAGGGTAAGATGAGACACATGATCCCGAGACTCATCGAGGCTCCTGTGGGAAGGAGAATGTAAAATGTCACTGATATGAAAAGCTGGATTTGCTCTCTCTGAAAGATCTGAAGATTGAAGTGAAACTTTCTCCTGGTTTCATCTGAGCTCTAGACCTGTGTGTGTTGTGTGTTTCTAACGCAGATTTACAACAGCTTCTCTTCATGGCTCATTAATGAGAGCGGGTGTATCGGGTGTCACGTGTCTAGACGTCAGGATCTCGGTTGTTGTTTCATATCATATCACATCATATTTTTCAATGCAAAGTCATTAAACAGTCAATCATAAACTCTGTAATCGTTTATTTGGTGTGACAACATGCCCCGGTCTGTGGAGAGCGTGATGTGTGTGTTCATGTTCACGGAGGTTGTGTGTGTGTGTGTGTGTGTGTGTGTGTGTGTGTGTGTGTGTGTGTGTGTGTGTGTGTGTGTGTGTGTGTGTGTGTGTGTGTGTGTGTGTGTGTGTGTGTGTGTGGAAAGCGTGATGTGTGTGTTACTTCATGTTCACGGAGGTTGTGTGTGTGTGTGTGTGTGTGTGTGTGGAAAGCGTGATGTGTGTGTTACTTCATGTTCACGGAGGTTGTGTGTGTGTGTGTGTGTGTGTGTGTGTGTGTGTGTGTGTGTGTGTGTGTGTGTGTGTGTGTGTGTGTGTGTGTGTGTGTGGAAAGCGTGATGTGTGTGTTACTTCATGTTCACGGAGGTTGTGTGTGTGTGTGTGTGGAAAGCGTGATGTGTGTGTTACTTCATGTTCACGGAGGTTGTGTGTGTGTGTGTGTGTGTGTGTGTGTGTGTGTGTGTGTGTGTGTGTGTGTGTGTGTGTGTGTGTGTGTGTGTGTGTGTGTGTGTGTGTGGAAAGCGTGATGTGTGTGTTACTTCATGTTCACGGAGGTTGTGTGTGTGTGTGTGTGGAAAGCGTGATGTGTGTGTTACTTCATGTTCACGGAGGTTGTGTGTGTGTGTGTGTGTGTGTGTGTGTGTGTGTGTGTGTGTGTGTGTGTGTGTGTGTGTGTGTGTGTGTGTGTGTGTGTGTGTGTGTGTGTGTGGAAAGCGTGATGTGTGTGTTACTTCATGTTCACGGAGGTTGTGTGTGTGTGTGTGTGTGTGTGTGTGTGTGTGTGTGGAAAGCGTGATGTGTGTGTTACTTCATGTTCACGGAGGTTGTGTGTGTGTGTGTGTGTGTGTGTGTGTGTGTGTGTGTGTGTGTGTGTGTGGAAAGCGTGATGTGTGTGTTACTTCATGTTCACGGAGGTTGTGTGTGTGTGTGTGTGTGTTCGCGGGTGTTTATGCGTTTATAAACTAGTTTCTGATTGGTTGATTTCTGAGCTGTCAGTCACGGGACTGGGACAAAACAATAAAACATAATACGATAAAATATAATAAATTATATACATATATCATAGACTGATAGAACTAATTTTCTCCTTTTCTCTTTCTGGTTTAAGTTGTTGTGGCGATCATCTTAAAGAGGTTATTTTCAACATAATGTCTAAGAATCTGTGGACTGAAGACTGAATATAATTTTGACACTAAATGTGTAATAAATTGTGAAAGTCAAACCGGTTTAACCAGATCGTGTTTGTTTGAGTTAGTCTAAATTGTAAATAATCCTAAATATTCTACTAAACTGAATTGAAGCTGAATTGTAACAGACACTTACAGATTGATTGGCATTAACAACTGTTTGTGAGAGACTGATGTGTGTGTGTGTGTGTGTGTGTGTGTGTGTGTGTGTGTGTGTGTGTGTGTGTGTGTGTGTGTGAGAGAGAGAGAGAGAGTGTGTGTGTGTGTGTGTGTGTGTGTGTGTGTGTGTGTGTGTGTGTGTGTGTGTGTGTGTGTGTGTGTGTGTGTGTGTGAGTGTGTGAGTGAGTAAGTGTGTGTGTGCAGCGGGTCACGCTGTCTTTCCTGTGTCTCCTCCATTAGTGAGTGTGAGACTGTGAACTGAAATCTTCCTGAGCGCGTTTATCAGACACGCGCTTTAAACAGGAGGTCATCACAGGGCGCGCGCAGCAGGAAGTCACACACCGCCACTTCCTGTCTGAGCATGATGATTGGTGAAGCAGAGAGAGAGAGTGAGAGAGAGAGAGAGTGACCCGGCATACAGGAGACTCATTAACAGGGTGTGTGTGTGTGTGTGTGTGTGTGTGTGTGTGTGTGTGTGTGTGTGTGTGTGTGTGTGTGTGTGTGTGCCTGCCAACAAAACGTTCTGTCAACGTTATGAACAAACGCTCTTTCAGTAACAAGAACGTTGCACGTTCATTCAAAGTTATCTGGTCTATAATAATGTTCATTAGAACATTAGAACAAAAACATTATTCATGGCGCATTTTTTAAAAAAGATTTCAGTTGGATGTTTTTTTTTTTAAATTCAAAAGTAACGTTCCCATAATGTTTATAAAACGACATTGATAAATTGAGCAAGAAAAAAACACGTTATTAAAACATTTTTTTTAACTGAACGTTCAGAAATAACTTTAATAACCTAATAATAGGAACGTTAGCAAAACTGTATGTTCTCAGCACAGACTAAGCGATTCGGAATAAGCACCAAATAAAAGTACACATGTTGTCCCACATGAGAGATAGATAAAGGTGCAATCAGAAGCAGAAATATTAATATTCACACATTTCACAGTATATCAGATATCAGAGGTTTAAACTCATTCCTGTCAGTGCAGCGTCAGGAATAACGATGAGTGTGAAACATGAAGCAGCGGCGCTCTCTAGTGGCCGGTCCAGGGAAACACACACACACACACAA